TAGCTGCTCACAAGCCTAACAGTTGTTGATCACTCATCTCTTGCACAAATTCATATTTGGTATGCATCATCATCTTGATTAATTTCTTTTAATTTTTATATTTTTAGCAAAATTTTGAACCATTTGTCTGTAAATCTATTTGAACAATCTTTTGGGGTGAATATGTAGTGGGTCAACTAGTACTTGCTTTATGGGGAATGTGTAAACAGTTTTTCATGCTTATATAATGCCAGCGTGTCAAATTTGTGCAAAACTTACAAACCTTAGAATCTCTGATCGTATTTGTTTTGAAATATGCGACCGCACAAGAAAGTGTGCGGTCCGCAAAAATTGATATTAGGGACTTGTGTCAAGCATGATTTTGCAGCCGTACTGAAAATTATGCGGACCGCAGAAATCCCATCGCGGGAGCAGAATGACTAGTTCTCTGTTATCAAAGATTTGTCAATTTGATGACTCTCATGTACGGCCACAATAGAAATTGTGCGGACCGCAATCCAACTCTACGGTTGCACTTGCAATTGTACGGGCTGTAGATCCAACTCTGTGGATGCAAGATTAAATTGTGTGGTCCGCAATGCCCAGCCTGGGGTCACACTTATAATTCTTCGGACTGCATTCCCCTACCCTGCAAGCATGTTTTACTTGTTCACTGTCTCTCTGGTGTGTTATTGTATGTTTACACTTGAATTACAATTGTCACCTACTGTTACTTGTTACAGAAAATGGTCAGATCTCGAGGCAGAGGATATACTTCAAAGGGGAGGGGTGAACCTTCCAGGGGCCTAGGCAAAAGTACTTTACCCCTAGCCCTCCAAAAGATAATCACAAAGAAGGCTACAGCCGACTGAGGAAGAAATGCAGCGCCCTCTGAATCTATTTCTTATTCCCCATCTAGGGAAGCATTGGAGGGCAACTCAGTTCAAGAGCAACCGTTTGTCCAATCAAAGCCACCGGGAAGGTATCCACTCCGGGATGAGCCCTCCATATCACATAGCACCTCCAAGAGTTCAGAGAGTGCCAGTCAGGCTTCTGAGCCCTCCTCTACACATGTCCATGAGGCACCAGTGACTACAGTTGATGATATTCTAGATGATGGCCGAGGGGGAGACACTACAGTTTCCGGCCTTGAGCGGTCGAAGAAGAAAGAGGTCTGGGAGGACCGGTTTGTCAGTCTGGCTGCCTTCACAAGTTTTCGTGGGTGGTGGCCAGTGAGATCACTCACTCTTGAGCTACAGTTCCAACTAAAAGAACTTGAAAAGTACAATCCAGTAGTCTTGAGGCATTTTCGAGAGCGGAAGAGGTGGATGTGGTTCACCATAGCATAGTGGATGCAAAAGAATATCTTGTCCGGGAGTTCTACACCAATGTGGCACACATAAAGAAAGGGACAAAACTAACTAAAGTGAGGAATCTGAAGGTGTGTTTTAACCAGCACACATTGAACACCTACTTGGGGTTTGATGATGTTGATCCTGCATAGTACTTGGAGAAGCTGGCAATTGGAGATACAGCTCGCCCATAGCTAGCTAAGATTCTTGTAGCTCCGAGGCCACCACCACCTTGGATCACAGCAGGGGTTCCTATTCAGAGGAATACCCTGAACTTTGAGGCGAAGGGATGGAAGACCTTTGTCTGCAGCAGATTAGACATGTGCAAGAATGAAACAAATCTTCGTATCCCGCAGGCAGTTCTAGTCGCCTCCATCATGGCCGAGTACCCGATCAATATAGGTGTCGTGATGTCGGCTAACGTATCTGTGGTCGCCAGGCAAGCTGATACTTCCTACCCGTATCACAACACCATTATTGAGTATCTATCGGATGCACGGGTGGAACCGAGAGATTTTGATACAAAGGTTCTAGCTAAGAAGCCCTTCTTATGGTATTCTCTAATAGATGCACACAACCCTAAGAAAAGGGTTAGACGACTACCACCATAGGCCAGTCTGATGAGACATCAGTGATAGTTGCAGAGATAGCTGACATACCATCCATTTCAATAGAGCCTTCAGCCAGTGCAACAACTATTCCCCCATCTTGAGACTCAATGCCTTCTACCTCGGCTTTGAAGCCGGTGTCGATGCCCACTGCTCCATTATTTGCGCTGTGAGTCTCCCAGACACTGGCGAGCCTCAAAAGCTAGATGCAGATAGCTACTACAAAGCACTCTAACATATCCAATAATGTTTCAGTATAGTCATCCATTCTGGCACCCCAGATTCCCCCACAGTTGAAGAAACTTTGAAGAAGCTCTTAGAGAATCAGAACACAATTATGGCCACTCTGGTGCAGCATGGGTCAGTAATAGAAGAGCTGGGAAAGGAAGTGAAGAAGATACGGGAATCCCAGGCCCCCAAGAGGTCAGTAGACAAGCTCCAGAGACAAGTTACCAAGCTTGCAGCAGCCGGAGACATTCCATTTGATATGCTGATTGACCCGCACCACCCAGGCCCAGATCCTACAACACATACAGTACCAACTGGCCTGTCTGAGGAGCCAGACATTGTTGATGACACTGCCGAGGCAATACGTCAGATGTTCACCAACCCAACCACTCCCGAAGTTGAGGATGATGAGATCCAGTTGGATGAGGCTGAGGTCGGTCACACTACTGGGGACACAGAGATGGCCACAGAGCCATATGGAGTTTTCTTCACTCTTACTCTTCCTTTACCCTTATTTTGTTAATCATTGGGGACAATGCTTGTNTTTTTATGCGGGGGGGGGGGGGAGTTTATTTGATATAGTTTGATGATTCTGAGACAAATTGGTTTATGATAACTGACAGTATTTTCCTTTTTTCCCTTATTCTATATATACTGTCTCTTTTCCTTTCTCATTATGTATATATTCTCTCTTCTCTCTCGTTATGTATATTCGTTACGCTTTCAATAGTTTTTTTTACTTTATAGCTTCTTTATCTTTATGTTTGTTTCCTTTTTGAATTAGTAGCTTCGTTTTTATTTAATAGCTTCTTTTTATATTTTAGTGGATAATAAGCCTTTGGTTTTCTTAATGCCACGGTTCTTTCCAAAGGTAGTTTTTGTGTGAACTGGGTGACTCTTCCCAACGATGGATGGCGTGACAACCTTCTTAAGGGATTGAGTCCTTTTTGGGTATTTAGGTAATAATAGTAGTAGTAATGAATAAAAAGACCTAATTAAGTCATGCTCGAAGAGTCACACATGCTTCACTTGGTACCAACACACTTAACTATGTGCATATGGTTAAAAATAATGTTTTTGGAAAGAAATAGTTATAGTTAGTGCCCTGGTGACTCTTCTGTTGACTTAGGCAACCATCGAGTGGTTTAATCCAACTATAGTGATTTTCAATCTTGAATATGGTCGTTGTGGACCCTCGACTCTATCCTCTTTAATAATCCAGCTGCGTGAGAGGTGAAATGTTTTTGTTGCAAGTCCAAGTACCCGTGCGAATGGTCTAGAACTTGCCCCGAATGTGTTTCAAGGCGAAATCTTAAATTTTGTTTGGCTTGAGAAGTGATTGCAGGCTCTCCTTGACCCGCTTGAAGTTTTTTATTTCCCACCAATGTTGTTATCCCTAGTCAACCCATTTGAGCATCGAACCTTTCTCATTTGATAATCATGTTACAAGCCTTTACTCATTTTATCATGACCCTCTCTTGGCATCCGAGCTTTTCTTAACACTCTTGTGAAACAATTGGCTAAAAATGTAAGTTTGGAGGAGAAATGAGGAACTTGAAAGAGGTATCAAGGCACAAAAATAGAAAAGAAATGAAGAGAAGGAAAGGCAATAAAAGGAAAGAACAAAAAGAAAAATGCAAAAAAAAAGTGAATAAGTGGAAGAGTTGATGGCATTCAAATAAAAGTAATGATGCAAAGAGTGGAGAAATCAAAGAGGGAGAAAATGAATGTCATGATCAAGAAAGAGTGATGCTAAGTCTCTCTAGTCCCCCCAAGGAAAAGAAAATTCCTCAAAGAATTGGCAAAGCATGAGCCGAGAACAGAAAATGGAGTGCTTAAGGAAAGATGAACCCGCTCTATCGTAGCATATCCAACCTTAGTCCAAAAGCCTTCATTGCATTTCGAAAAAGCCCTATGTGATTTCAAGCCGAGTGATCTTACATTAATGGCGATCTACATGAGGGGCAAGCCTATGGTACTTAAAGTCGTACTTGCGATATTCTTTTGAGAAAGATGAGTGAACCTTTCGCAAATCTTTGGATTGAGTGCTAAAATTCTTAAGCAAGATAGGAAAACAGAGAGTAGATGAGGAGGAGTTTGGGATCCACAATGACCTACATGAAAGAGCGAGCTTCCTTGATGAATAAAGTCAACTCTTGATGCTCGAGTGTCACATTAGAACTATATGTGCATAAATGTTTAACTTGTTGCCTTGTTGATAATAAATAAGTGGTGTGGGTAATTGTTGGTCCCAATTGATGTGTGAATGACTCACTTTTGATTAGCTGGAATGGCCCTTAACTTGTGGAGGTGGGAACTAATCTATTTGCTTGAGGACAAGCAAAAACTTAAGTTTGGGGGAGTTGATAAATGGGGATTTTGACTACTTATTAGCGCCTTTTAGCTTTTATTTTAGTCCAAAAGCATTTAATTGTGTTCCCGAAAACTGATGAAATGTGCTAAAATTGCAGGAATATTAGAAGATGGACTTCCAAGATGAAATCCAACTCAAAAAGGAGTAATCTAAACTCAAGGCCATAAAAGGCACAGAAGCTCACAAGTGCGGACCGCAGAGTATCATCTGCGACTGCAGATGATGAAGGAAAGGCCATCAGGCCTTTGTGCAAAGTGCGGTCCGCACATGCATTGTGCAGCCGCAAACGATGGCTAGGAACAAAGTTCAAAGAATGTGCATTTCAAGCTCCTCAGAATTGCGGACCGCACAGGAATTGTGCGGCCGCAGAAGAAGCGCCTTGCAGCCGCATGTGTAAAAGTATGGACCGCAGAAGACATAGTTGCGGCCGCAGATGTAAAAGTGCGAACCGCATAAAGTATGACTTACGGCCGCAGATCAGAATTATGCGGCCGTAGACCTCCAGTTCCTGACAAGTTGAAGAAATCTGGGGACTGCCCATGGAATTGTGCGGCCGCTGAACCTCCCGAAGGGTATTTATTTTTTAAATTTATAGCCCTGTATAAATAGACGAGTTTCACAATTTTAGGTCAACTTTTGACATCGGCAGCTACAGTAGTCGTTTCTTTTTACTTCTTTTAGTAGCTTTTCATAATTTAGGATATCTTAACATAGATTTTATCATTTTGATTTCACAATATGAGTTTATTTATCGTTTCTTCTTCTATTTATTCAATTTCAAGCACGAGTAGCTAGATTTTTACTAGGGTTGTGACCCAACCCTAGTGTGTAAGCCTTATGGGTGTTTAATTTGATGTTTATTTATGGTTGGGTGTTTATTATTTAGCCTTGTTCATGCTTTAATTTATGAAATTAATAGTTGTAAACATTAGTTCATTCCTATTTCACTTAGTCTCTACTTGAGAAAGAGAGACTTAGTCTAGGACAACGTGGCTAACAAGAAATTGGGTCAATCGAGAGATTGATAATCCCAATTAAAGGGTTCAACCTAGAGAATGTAATAACCTGACTTGAACTTTTATCAACCATTTTGTGTAATACCCATTTGGACTTGAGAAAGCCAAATTGGGCAAAATCACTCTTTGACCAAAAGGTATTGAGTGGGTAATTGAGAGTTGATAGTTATAATACACTCCGATCAACAAAATAAGCATTAAGGTCTATATCCCATAAGGCAAACACCTAGGTGATGGTCATAGCCCTAGGCTTTTTACAAACCTTGAAAAATGACAAAAACAATTCTCTTAGTTTTATTTCTTAACTTTGCAATCTTAGTTTTAAATTAGACATAGAAACAACCCAAATTTGTGGAAGAGAAAATTAAGATAGTCAAACTAACATACTACAATATATAATCCTAACTCCAATATATAGCTCCCTGTGGAAATCTATCCCGACTCTTGTTGGGTACTATTATTGCAATCAACAGTTTCATAACCTTGATTTGAGGTGTGAAATTGGACGATATCATTAGTCGCCAAAGTGGCCTAACTAGTATATTTATGAAAATATGCATACATAAAATTATAGTTTATCTATGAAATTAATGAAATGCCTACAATAAAAAAATTCATGGATAAATTAATTTTCACTATTGCTAGAACTTCAGGATTTACCCAAAGGTGGATCGATTAGTCTATGAATAGTGAATGATAAGGTAAATAAATATTCTTAGGCAAATATATATTGTATTTCCAAAGATGTCATATATGTTTGGTTAAAAAATATTTAATTACCTATTAAAGACTAAATGGCATTTTAAATTATGATAGTGTGTCGTAGTATTTACCCAAAGGAGAATCGGGATATACTTTTATTGTTTTACTGAATCCATATTAATTTGTGAGCATGTATTATCTATTTTGCAGATGTTCCTCTTCATTCACATGCTTCGTCTGTTACTGTGTTCAATGGATTGAACTTCTCTAAATGGCATGAACAAGTCCAGTTCCACTTAGGTGTAATGGATATTGACTTGGCTCTGCTGAATGATAAGCCCACTGCCATTACTGATACGAGCAATGCGGATGAGAAGTCTTTCCATAAAGCATGGGAACGCTCTAACAAGCTGAGCCTTATGTTTATGCGAATGATTATTTCCAACAACATTAATAGTACTATTCCACAAACAGAAAGTGCCAGGGAATACCTGAAGTTTGTGGAAGAATGTTTTTGTTCTACAGATAAGTCTCTCACTGGTACACTAATGGCTGAACTCACGACATGAAGTTTGATGGGTCACGTAGTAGGCAAAACCATATCATCGAGATGACTAACATTGCAGCAAGACTTCAGACCTTGGGAATGAAAGTTGATGACTCCTTCTTGGTTCAATTTATTCTGAACTAGTTGCCTCTTGAGTATGGACCTTTTCAAATTAACTATAACACTATTAAGGATAAGCGAAATGTTAGTGAATTGTCTAGTATGCTTACTCAAGAGGAGTCAAGACTTAATAAACAAGGGAATCATTCAATTAACCTCATGGGTCAAGGAGCTGGTAAAGGACTTAAAGTGAAGGCCAACAAGTTCAAGAAGAAGAAAGCACCTACTAAAGCTCCACAGGATGCTAACAAGGAACATAAGGCAGATACATGTCGTTTTTGTAACAAGGAAGGACACTATCAGAAAGATTGCCTGAAACGTAAAGCTTGGTTCGAAAAGAAAGGTACAATTAGTGCTTTTGTATGTTTCGAATCAAATTTAGTAGAAGTTACTAATAATACTTGGTGGCTTGATTCTGGTGCACTGCTCATGTATCTACTACATTGCAAGGATTCCTTACGATCCAAACTATAAAACCAAATAAGGATTTCTTGTTCATGGGAAATCGTATGAAGGCTCCAATTGAAAGCATAGGGACTTATCGTTTGATCATGGAGACTGGACGTCACCTTGATCTATTGCAGACTCTTTATGTACCTTCAATTTCTAGAAATTTGATTTCTCTTTCAAGACTTGATGTTTCTGGATTTGATTTAAAGTTTGGAAATGGATGTTTCAATTTATATAAGGATGCTATTTTTTATGGTTTTGGTGTTCTTAGTGATGGTTTATATAAATTGAAACTTGATACTGGTTTTTCTGAATCCCTTCTTACTGTTCAACATAATGTTGGAATTAAACGTAGTTCACGAGATGAAAGTTCTGCTTACTTGTGACATAGAGTTTGGATCATATATCCAAAGAAAGGTTAGAAAGATAAGTAAAGAATGAGATTCTTCCGAATCTAAATTTTACTGATCTTAATATATGTTTGGATTGCATTAAGGGAAAGCAAACCAAGCATAGTAAGAAAGGTTCCACAAGAATCACCCAACTTCTTGAAATTATATACACTGATATTTGTGGACCCTTTGATGTTCCATCTTTTGGTGGAGAAAAATATTTTATCACTTTTATCGATGACTTTTCACGTTATGGATACATCTATTTGTTGAAAGAAAAATCTCAAGCAGCAGATGCTCTCAAAGTGTTTGTTAATGAGGTTGAAAGGCAATTAGATAAAAAGATGAAAATTATTAGGTCAGATAGAGGTGGTGAATATTATGGAAAATATAATAAATCGGGACAATGTCCAAGTCAATTTGCAAAGTTCCTCGAGGAACGCTGCATATGTGCACAATATACTATGCTAGGAACACCTCAACAAAATGGTGTTGCAGAAAGGCGTAATCGAACATTTATGGATATAGTTAGGAGCATGATGAGTAATTCCTCATTACCCAAATCATTATGGATATATGCTCTTAAAACCGATGTATATTTATTAGATAGGGTTCCTAGTAAGGCAGTTCCAAAGACTCCTTTTGAACTGTGGAGAGGAAGAAAACCTAGTTTAAGGCACCTGCATGTTTGGGGTTGCCCAACTGAAGCTAGAGTTTGTAATCTACAAGAAAAGAAATTAGATTCTCGAACAGTAAGTGGTTACTTTATTAGTTACCCAAAGAAATCTAAAGGGTATGTGTTTTACTGTCCAAATCATAGTTCGAGGATTGTTGAAACAAGTAATGCAAGATTCATTAAGAATGGTGAAGTTAGTGGGAGTGTTGTAAAACAAAGTGTGGAAATAAAAGAGGTGAGGGTCAATGTTCCATTACCCACGAATGTGCCTACTTCCACGTAAATACCAAATATTATTCCAGTTATTCAAGAACACTTTGACAACACCGAGCAACATGTGGATGAAACACTTCGTGAAGAAACTAACTCACAAATATCAGACACAAATGAACCACAAAAAATACCATTAAGAAAATCTCAAAGAGTTAGAAAATCGGCTATTTCGGATGATTACGTGGTTTATTTGCAAGAGTCAGATTTTGACATTGGTCTTAATAAGGATTCGGTTTCATTTTCACAAGCCATAGAAAGTAATGAGTCTGACAAATGGACTGATGCCATGAAGGAAGAGTTAAAATTCATAGAATACAATAAAGTCCAGGATCTCGTTGAATTGCGAGAAAGTTCTAAAAGAATCGGGTGTAGATGGGTCTTTAAGACCAAACGCGATTCAAATGGCAATATTGAGCGATACAAAGCCAGACTTGTTGCCAAGGGTTATACTCAGAAAAAAGGCATTGATTATAAAGAGACCTTTTCACCGGCCTTAAAGAAAGACTCGTTAAGAATTATTATGGCTTTGGTCGCTCATTATGATTTAGAGTTACATCAAATGGATGTAAAAACTGCCTTTCTTAATAGAGACCTCGAGTAAGAAGTTTATATGGACCAACCAGAGGGTTTCGAAACTAAAAGAAAAGGTCAATGGTGTGTAAACTGAAGAAGTTAATATATGGACTTAAACAAACCTCACGACAATGGTATATAAAGTTTAATGATACCATGACATCTTTTGAATTTGTGAAAAATACCGTTGATAGATGTATATAACAAAAGATCAGTGGGAGCAAGTTTATATTTTTAGTCCTATATGTTGATGATATTCTACTTGCTGCTAATGATTTAGGCATATTGCGTGAGACTAAAGATTTTCTCTCTAAGAATTTTGAAATGAAAGATATGGGTGAGGTATCCTATGTGATAGGAATAGAAATACTCCGTGCTAGATCACAAGGATTATTGGGATCGTCTTAGAAAGGCTATATCGAAAGAGTTCTAGAAAGATTTAACATGAATAACTGTTCAGTAGGAATTGTTCCAATTCAAAAAGGGAACAAATTTAGTCCCATGCAATGCCCTAAGAATGATGTAGAACGAAAAAAAATAGAATCAATTCCTTACTCTTCTATTGTTGGTAGTCGGATGTATGCTCAGACTTGCACAAGACCAGATATTAGTTTTGCGATCGGAATGCTAGGAAGATATCAGAGTAACTCAGGAATTGATCACTGGAAAGCTGCAAAGAAAGTATTAATGTACTTGAAAGGAACGAAGGATTATATGCTCATGTATAGGAGATCCAAGCATTTGGAAGTTGTTGGATACTCGGATTCATATTTCACTGGATGTATTGACACTAGGAAGTCTACGTTTGATTATTTGTTCCAATCAGCTGAAGGAGCAATATCGTGGAAGAGTGCCAAACAGTTTGTCATTGCTACATCCACGATAGAAGCAGAATTTATGGCATGTTTTGAAGCCACAATACATGCATTATGGATGCGAAACTTTATTTTAGAACTTGGGGTTGTCGACACCATTACCAAGCCGCTGAAAATTTACTGTGATAATTCTGTAGCGGTATTCTTCTCCAAGAACGATAAGTACTCCAAAGGTGCCAAACATATGAAATTAAAGTACTTTACCGTCAAGGAGGAAGTTCAGAAACAAAGAGTGTCACTTGAGCTTATTAGAACTGATCTCATGATTGCAAATCCGTTAACGAAAAGTTTACAGCCAAAGATATTTAAAAAGCATGTACATAGAATGGGTCTTGGCTATATTTATAACTAATGTATTTATGATGTTTTGACACTCTAAGCTCATTTATGTGTTTCTGATATACATTAATGATTTCATGTTTCTCATAATGGGGTGCAAATTATTATTTGAGATATTATAGGATAAGTCTCAATGAGATATTATTGTGGACCATAATATTTTATAGCTTATAGACCTGATACGATGAGTTACTAATGTTGTAGTATATAGAAGGGAGTATGTAGACAAATTATATATATAACCACCATAACTCACATTTAGTAGTTTATCGAATTATGGTATTTATGATGGACATTATAGAAGAGATTTGTTTATGCGCAAGTAATGTTCTTATATTATTAAATATTAATATTAGGTGATTATTGGGCCAAGTGGGAGAATATAAGATTTTCCTACGTATATTGGTGGCCCAGTATGTTTAAGGCCCTTAATTAATATTTAATTAATGAGCAAATCTCATTCGTCCGATCGGTTACTTGATGGACGTACCGGATTAAGTAAGAACCTCTATAAATTGGCTCTCTCCCCACCCATTAGGGTTACTGTATTTTCTATTCTCTCTTCCATCACTAAAGTCGGCGGTAACAAAAGCTAGGCAAGGGGCGAGAAACCAATTCCAATTAACGTTCCGGTTCATGATAATGGCTTCCGCTTCAGGTATGTTTTTTGTAACGATTATATGTAAGATGATCATGTTCAAGATCCTGGTATGAATTAAACTTTATGTTTACAAATTGCTCTACCCATTACAATTTGAAAGATTGTACTTTTGAATGCATCATCATTATATATTTATCATTTATTAAAAGATAAATTTATTATTTAGTACAAAAATATTATAGGAGTGGTGTGTAGATAATGGATAAAAATGTCATTCAATTTTTTGATGGATATGATGATTAGTGTTATGTGTCCATGGTCGTGTTCTTGTTTTCTTTTAATTCAACAACGTAATAAGAAAGGGCAAAATTGATAAATAAGTACAATAACAGTTATTATATTAATGATAAATAAATTTTAAAAAATTATTAATAAATCAAGATAAGTAAAGTAAGCATAATATCTCCTTTTATTTTTATTTTTTCTTTTTTGTTACCATTAATATTTAATACTAACTAAAATACTCTCTTTGTTTCAATTCATATGTCATTCCTTTTTAGCTTGAAATTTTTTCCTTTACCTAAATAATATGATTTCAATTCATAGTCCACACAAATTTTTATAATCTCTTTTTCAATGTATATTAACTAACGAGGACACATGTTAATAATGTAACCTACCATTGACATTATCGACGCCAAACTCACTTGAGCAAAGCTGAAC